GAGTCGCAATGAGAGAACTCGCATGAATTGAGAACGGTTAGAATACCAAAAACAGCGAATAAATATGCTTAAATATCCATAGGGAAGAATCACTAAATTTTCCCGCAACACAGTGCTTCAGTACTTTAAGAATGAAACCAGACGATTCAACCACTTTGTTATCACCAGACTAGAAGAGATTCGTGAGCACACTACTCCAGACTAGTGGCATCATGTCGCAGTCATCCTGAACCTAGCTGATGATGGATTGTTAGGCTTACTTATCGAATCTTTTAAACCAGAATGTCGCTGGTGGTTCAGACCAGACTTCCTCTGGCATTTAGAAGACCAAAGGCCATGCCGTGAAGTGGGAGATGTTGTAGAAAACGATAAAGAAGTAATCGCTTCAAGAACCACCCACAATATCACAACCGAAGCGGCTGGTGCTTCCTTGAATGAGTTGCTAAAAGGATTTTCTTCATGGCCCAAGCTGGACTGGAATGTGTCATGGCTTGTGCACTTTGCCAATTTTCTGAAGTTCAAACGCAATTTATTGCCCACGCCTTCCCCTGATAAGATCAGTCTAGGAGAGACGCTCTCTCACGAGCCATGGTAAAGACAGTTTAGCATAAGTAATTCCTAGAGGAGCTAGAAGCCTTACAATCTGAAGGGCTGGTAAAGAAAGACAGCATGTTGAGTTCACTCTGCCTAGTTCTGCTCAATGGCGTAATCTGCCTTGGAGGTTGACTACAACATGCACCAGTAGCCCATTGATGATTCCAAGTGAGCACCCCATTGCTACCTTGCTTATCCGACATCGTCACGAGATAGTCAGACACGCCAGCCGACAACATATCTTGTAAATGCTGTGACAGAGATTATAGATACCTAATGGCCGCGCACTGACTCGCCAGATACTTCGCCATTGCATATCCTGCCGCAAGCAACGTGAAGGAGTGATGAACCAAATGATTAGAGACCTACACAAGACCAGGCTTACACCTCACGAGCCTCCTTTCACCTACACTGGGTTAGACTTTTTCAGTCCCTTCCACGTCAAGCGAGGTTGTGGCACAGGTAAAGTCTATGGATGCATCTTCGTCTAGAGGGCATCAAGGGCTATTCACATCGAAGATGTTGGACCATAGGAGACAGATGCATTCATTCAAGCCCCCACGCCGCTTCATCAGCATCCGCGGAGCTGCTAAGGAGATCTGGAGTGATAACGGCACTAACTTCACTGGAGCCGAGAAGGAGCTGAAGCTTGCCATGCAGGACCTAGATCAGAAAATCATTCAGATAAATTTTCTAGGGACGGACGTTGAGTGGCATTGCCAACCCCTTGTAAAGTGGCATTTTCAGCCTCCGACTGCCAATCACATGTCTGGAGTATGGAGACGTCTTATCAGAAGTGTCCGCTAAACCATGAAGGTCATTTTTCTTCGGTCATCCTCACGCCTTTATTGCCAGAGAGACCCTCAGAACCGTGTTCGCCGAGACAGTCGGAATACTAAACAGTCTACCCGGCCCTGTGCCTGAGTAATGACGACTCAAGCGACTGGGAACCCATTACCCCCAGTCATCTTCTTCAGCAGCGTCAAGGGTTCTCTGTACCACCCGGAGTCTTCCAAGATGAAGATCTATTTTCTCGAAGGCAGTGGCGAAGAGGTCAAATTCCCTTGAATCACTTCTGGAGCAGATGGCTGCACGAATATCTACCCACGTTCCAAGAACGCAAGAAATGCATCCTTAAACGAAGAAACGTAGCAGTTAACCTTTTAATCATTGCGGTTACAGAGAACGCTCCACGTGGTCATTGACTGCTCGGCCGATTTAGCAAAGTGTTTGTAGGCCAAGATGGTTTGGTTCGCACAGCTGAGATCAAGACCAGGAATTCAGCTCTATTGCATCTGATCTCAAAGTTGTGTCTTCTGGAGGAGTCAAATTAGCAATAAACGTTTAGAGTGATTTTGTGCTTTTTTGAACACTGAACTGTTAACGAACTCAGTGCTAGGATCCAAATAGTTTTGTTGAACGCACACTTAGGTTTAGCAAGTTCAAAGGGGAGCCTTTTCTTTTTGTACAGCTGTTTCTCACAGCCGACATCCGAGCATAGTTGCTCGTAACACTTTTTTGTTTTCGTTAATTCCCGTGTCCACGTAGTCCAGTGAATTTGCACCATTGGAACCTTTTCTTGCCATCTTTTCCCGCCTCCGGATACTTTTCACCAGACCTCGACAATCAGTAGGTTCTGTTGTTTTATTTTAGCGTTTAGTGTTGTTTGCTGCTGTTATTTTCTGCCGGTTTGTCGCTATGTAAGCAACTTTCTAAACCCTAGCGGCTTTGTAATTTTAGCAATTAATTAATTACTTTCAGAGTAAAACGAGGATTTCTGTGAAGAATTGACCTCGTCATGTTCCTATCGACTTTCGACATATGCTTCGCCAAGTACGCCTATTCACCCGTTGAGGTATGAATATTCGAACTGTAGTAAAAGGAAACAATATTTCATTTGCGGTTACAGAAAGAACTAAGAGAAGTGACCGCTGTTTTGAGCAGTTCTTCCCTTGAGAGCGAGCCGGAGAAAAAGAGAGGATTTGTAGCTCATTCAGTGTAAGGGGTCTAAGGAAAAGTTAGTTTGCGTGAAACGTACACCTTTCTGACTTCAACTGTTGTTTTAAACATCCAACAGATTTGCGTACGGTGCATTTTCCGAGGAAATCACCAATGCTTTAGTCTAGAGCATGGCATTTAAGATGCTTTTTGTTCGAGACACGGAAGATAGTGACCCTCCCCTTGAGTATGTCAACTCTATAATTCAAGCATTACCAGCTGGAGGTAACTCGGTTGGATGTACGGAAAATTATTTCTAAGGAATACTTATTTTGACATATTTATCTCCTGTCTTACTGGGACCCTGATGAAGTTACTCTCTTCGGTGATGAACCGTTAAATGTATTAGGAAACACTGGCTGTTTTTCAGGACGAAGGTCATTACAATTAAGGCTATGAAACACAATGCCAATGTACTATGCAAACCTCGACGTCTTAGAGTGAGAATTAAACAATTTTCTATTGCTCGACACCTTCAGGAGAGATTTTAAATCCGGTGGCTTTAGTATGGTATAATTTTAAAGATGCTAGACATAAGTTTAGGCATTTGGTGCATTGGAATGCACCAAAAAGCAAGGCACCCAGGCGAAGAACAATGGAACAAACAAAGGCGCAATTAAGGAAAAACCTTAAAGATAACACTTCGAAGGAAGCTTCCAAAAGACTATTAAAGAGCTTGGAGGAGCGATGAACGCATCAATTGCAATCCAAACTCCCAGAAACCGTGCGATGTTTATAGTAACTTGTTCTACTCTATCCAAAAGAATTACACCTCTCTTGAACAAGGTTTGCGAGCTCTTGGTACAGAAGGGGAAAAAGCATTGGAAAAACGCTGTAGGAAGCTTTCCCAAAAGTGTTAAAAGCTAAGATGTATGAGCTAAGATGTAAGGACCACCTAAAGGATGTTGCCGTAGAAAGCAAACGTAAAATCATTGACCAGATATTTGGGAAAAGATGATGGTGATGAAGTCTACAAAAAGGGCCTCTTTGATGCTGACTCTGCTGAACTCTAAGGGACTTAATGAATCAGTCAGGGACCTTCGGAAGGAAAAATCCTCTTCTTTTGTGCGTTGGTTTGAAATTAAACGCCCCATTATCAAAGAGTCGATGCTTGCAGGTGTCAGAAAAGCGACGGGTGTAGGCCCCCTTATAACCATAGCCCCAAGAGTAACAATCACGTTATTAAGCACAGAGCGCTACCGGGAGGTAGCGCTCTGTGCTAAATTAAAAACGGGGGGTATCACTTGCTATTTACATGGTCGAGAGGGAGGGGGGCTTAAAGAAATTTTGATCTTTCCAACATATTCCTCCCTTTCTCCTGCACATAAATAATGACTGGTCCCTAATATCTCAACGGCATTTTATAACAAAGCGCTTGAAATGCCGTGAGAGCCGTACCCAAGTCGAAATTCAAGTAAGCACATAGGAATTCAAATAATAACTCACCTTCGGAGTGTCAACGTGAGGTCAATGAACAGTGAAAAAAGCATATGATCCGACCCAACCGATTAGTTATCGAATTGCGCAAACAGTGGCTTTGCGAGGTATCATGATGATGTCGTGGATTGCTGTAACAATCCCGAACTTGGGTCATTGAACGAATACTACTCGATTACTTATCGCATTGTGCGAGGTCGACGCGCTACCTTACCTAAATTTGTCCCAAAAAAATGTTAGGTGTGTCGATGGCGTATCTGGCATCGCACCCCTGCTTAAATAAATCTGATAGCACCAAAAGCTCGAGTTCTAACACTGAGACACGGCAGAGTTTCGGACTAAGCCCGAAAAATTAAAATAATGTCGTCGATTGCTCGAAAATCTCACGAACTTAATTACTTGCTTTCTTACTTACTTACTTAACAGACTGGCAGCAAGGTACATACTGTTGCTAGCAAAAGTCGCACTAAAATAAAGAAATAAACAAATAATAAAGGAACTGTAGCCCTTCTGAGAAGCTGAAACCGGAGCGGCAGAGAAAGTCCGACGGAAAAAGTTCAGCAAACCAAAAATTGTAATCTAGAATAAACTGAAACAAGACGCTAATACTTTTCATGGGCAGACGACTAGCAAAGACTTGCTCAATCTTCACAAGAATATTCTATAGGGATCGAAGACAAAGTTGAGATCACATGGCCAATTGAGTCAGTACTTAAAAGAGAGGCTCTCTTTTTAGTTGAGCAATCAACAGCAACAGAAATAATACACGTGTAGCATAGTTAGTAGAAGTTTAGTAGTCCACTCCATACTAACTTCCCACATTCATTTACTCGGGAGACTGCAAGGGGGAAAAAAAGGGCCTTCTTTGTGTGAGCCAGTACCAAGGCAATCAAAACTTATTTTTTAAATGTTTTAAGTGGGGAAAATGTCTCAATATTTCGTTGGATCTACTCTTAAGATTTTATTCTAACCTCTCGTTTTTCCACTGCTTTGATGGACAATTTCGTTAGACCAAGCTCCTTGTTTACTGGTGGTTGATCTGTTTTCCTGGTCCCTCCAAATGCTGCTGCTTTCAGTTGTACTGTCGAGAAGATACGTAAAAGCCTTCTCATCTTTAGCCTGACCTGCTCCAACTACAGCTTCTGGATGATGCTGGAAACTGGTTGGTTTTTCTTTCTGCTTTGTTTTCTCTTTCTGCTTTGGTTTAAATTGTGTTTTTGTTGACTCGGAATAACATCTGAGAAGCTGAGGTGCTACCTGTTTCGATCTTGCTGCCGGTGGCGTTGCTGCCTTGGGTGGTTCTTTTCGCCGAGGTGGCTGGTATTCAAACATTTTTCCTTTCTTGTTTGGGTCAAAGTGATGCAGCAGTGCCTGTTCGTGAATCTCTCGATGTTGTTTGTTCCAAGAAAAGATAAAGCTCTTTCTACCATCAAGATACTCATCGTCGAACTGTGATGTAACTTTCTTTTTTGCCCAACGGGAAATAACCTCTCGATTTTCTTCGTCGTCGCCTTTGTAGCTGTCATCTCCACCGATAACAATGATGACATCCCCCCCTGTAGAAGAAGTAGATTAAAATGTAACGCAGCGATAAGTATCGAGTATCATCCCTTACAATGACATAACATATTTGATGACTCTTACGGCCCCGCGCGCGTCTTTACTGAGAAATATTAGACAAAACTCCGGGTACAAAGATCGTACGCAGTTGCGCGAAGGCATTCGGTACCGTGAGCTAAAAAGAGAAAGGAAGGAAAGGAGCGACTCCAGTCATGTGATAACTGATTGAGAGTTTGGTCGGGCCGCTCGTGTTGACCTCGAGCCAACTTTTTTTTCGGTGCGGCCTTCCAACTCAGTCAATAATAATAATAATATAATAATAATAATTTAATACTTATATTGCGCAAGTTAACATGAAGATATGATCAAATGCGCATCACAACACTTTTCGGGGGACTTTGGCCAGACTGCATCAGCAGTTTACAAACATTGGAAAGAAACTTTTATTTGAAGATGCCCCCTCCCCCCAATTCCCATTAAACAGGCCAGACCACATCACAGTAATCTCGTGAGTGGGTTCTTTAACGTCCCCTGCCTAACCAAATTAACTAATTAATAGATGCAGGAGACGGGACCTACGGTTTATTCGTCCTTATCCGAGAAGACTAGAATGTCTAACCATTTCTTGATATTATAGAAAGGTAGCGCATTCTCCTCAGCTATTTTAAGACCTTGAGTGTGGGTCCGGCCGGGGCTCGAACCATCGACCTCGACCTCCCGCACAACAATCCAGCGCTCTAACCAATTGAGCTAACCGGGAGGCGGTTATAATAATAAATCAATAAATACAATAAGTAGATACTATTCCGATGCTCAACGGGGGTTTAGAATGCCGCTTTGGTTGAAACAGTCCAGTGAGTGGTTATGGTTAGCCGTAACGAAGATGCATCAAGCACGAAGTCAGCGTGAAATTTCCAATATGCGTCACGCAAGAGCGCATATTGGAAATACTGCCTACTTTTTGATATAATTTTCGATAAAGGCTCATTAAAAGGGTCCTTTAGAAAAAATAAAACGAATTACGAAATTTTGCAACTGTTGGCGGACTCTCGATATTTACATAGTTAGTTTACGGTCAGTAAACAGACTGGTCGCCAGGCTATGGTGGGTGATTCCTGCCAATATTCAAGTCTAAATTTGCTGTCTGAATTTAATGCTGTCTCAAATTTTATGCTGCATCAAATTTAATGCTTCACTAAATTTTAGCTACATCAAATTTAATGCTGCGTCAAATTTAATGCTGCATCAAATTTAATGCTGTCTCAAATTTAATGTTTCACCAAATTTAATGCTGTCTTAAATTTAATGCTGCCTCAAATTTAATGCTTCACCAAATTTAAAGCTGCATCAAATTTTATGCTGCATCAAATTTAATTCTTCACTAAATTTTATGCTGACGAGTATCATCCTTGGGGACTGGTGACTAGACAAGAAAACGAGGCAGGAGGTTTCCCGCCAAAATACAATCTGGTTATCAAAATGGCGGATCCAAGCTCTTTACGGGCCGAGGAGCTTCAGGCTTTTAGAAATATCCGATCGATCCTACTTGATGTTATTCGACATCTTGAGGCACGTGACCTTGATTCAAATATGATCGATGCTTTGTATTTTCGACTGGATTGGCTACATGGCTTAATTATTCGCTATTTCGATGTACACGAACTTGGCGAGGAAGTTGTGCACCTCATAGGTACAGCGCGCGACCAAATTGCTAATCATGTCAATTGTCCACAATCCTCGGAAATTTGTCAACACGGCGCGTTCATCATGACGTAAACTAACGCGATTAGAAGTTGTTGGTGTGCTACAGGTGGTATTAGACGTCGTAGTAGTGTTAGTAGGGCTGTTCAATTCAGACAAAATGTTCGTAGCCTGCCTAAGCAAGTTGATAGCCGTCGAAAATTCGACAGGACTTCTACCTTCTTCGCTCTCCGCCATGTTTTACAAACCACAGAGAACTTTTGGCGGGAAACCTTTTGCCTCGTTTTCTTGTCTAGTCACCAGTTCCCAAGGAACAATACTTGTCAGCATAAAATTTGGTGAAGCATTAAATTTGATGCAGCATTAAATTTGAGACAGCATTAAATTAGATGCAGCATAAAATTTGGTGAAGCATTAAATTTGATGCAGCATTAAATTTGACGCAGCATTAAATTTGATGCAGCTTAAAATTTGAGACAGCATTAAATTCTAACAGCAAATTTAGACTTGAATATTGGCGGGAATCCCCCACCATAGCCAGGCAAGAATAAATTTTCTTTGAGCGGGAATCGGGAGAATAAATTATAATGTTTAACTGGCTCTTACTCAGGTTCCACTCGGTTCGTCGTAAAAATAAAATAGAATTTGAGACATCGTCAATGTCTGTTTCGCTTTGTTGGGGTGTTCTAAATTTCGTTTTGTTCACTCAATTTCTGTTCTAACTTCCTAAATTCTATTCTGGTGGTTCAATTTCGGTTGTCTCTTTATGAGAGGAGAATTTGATAAAAAGCAATAGCACACAGGTTCTTCATAACAGAATTTGAAACAGGATATTGCCGGAGATGACCCCTCATAGTTTTGGAAGTATTTTATTTTGCTGAATATCTTTAACTGCCAGTCTATTCAGAAGGCTGTGCCCAGTAGTCTGATCAGAAGCGTAGACAACCGAGCGATATCAGAGGGTGCATAAGATCGCAGAATTTGTCCACGAAAAAAGAATAATTTGTTGGAATTGCCCAACATTTCTAAATAAACATCTGATATTCTTAAGAAGATTGAAACAACCTCTCAACTGAAATTCTGTAAAAATTTCTGACTGCAGAGTATTTAGTCTACTTTAGACTACCTTACAGCCGGGCATTTAGTCACAGCGAAAATCGCTGGGGCCCGGTTCAGACGTTGGTACTTCAGCCGAGCCGAATCGAATTCAACGAATTAATTTCATGTGAACGGTACGGCATCTAAATCAGTTTGTAATGGCCAATTTAACTTAGATCGGCCCGATCAATTAATCCCACCTAACTCAGCGAGAAGAACGGCTGTAGACCGGCTTTGATTCAACGCCGTACTTCACATGAGCTGAATCAAATGCATAAATTATTTTAATGTCTTTCTCTTGTCGTTTTTACACGTGACCATGTGCAAAGAAGTGTTGCAGAAGAAAAATGGCGGCTTGAAGGGCCGAGCAAACGATGCGCTGGCAGATTTTGAATGGGCACCCTATTCTACGCCTTTCGAACTCACACTGATTCTTCGCTCTGTCGGTTCTTTGGGTATCATGTAGTTTTCCTCTTCGTCAGCAACATCCCTTCCTGCGAGCCTTTTACCAGCATGGTAATATTTGTTTTCTTCAAAAATTGAACATTTATTGCATTTCTAGCAGGTATATTTGGTCGTGCCGAAACACTTACTGCTCAACTGCCGGACTCTATTTTGGTAGTTCCTAAAAGAAGCTAGCAAATAAAATACTTAAAGCTTACTTACAACAACCATGCCATACAAATAGCTTTCGTTCTTTACAACACTTATCAAATTTGTTACTTTAAACTGCGCCGGGCTCCGGCCACAAATTTTCTTCAGTTAATTAATTTCAGCCGAAACAAGTTGAGCGTCTGAATCAATTCAGCCAGAGTCAACTAATTTAGGTCGACCTTACGTTGAATTCGATTCCGCTCGGCTGAAGTACAGCGTCTGAATTGGGCCTTAGTATTTTCATAACCAAGACATCAGTGTCAGCTGGCTCAAAAAACAATATTTGTACCCCTTCTTTTTAATTTTATGGATAACTGCTGCCGGCAAAGTACTCTATCACTAGAATGAGCTTTCCGTTTCCCCCTTAAATGAAAAGTTTTGAAATTTTAAAAATATATCTTTTTCAATTCTATCCTTCTCCTCAAAACAGCTGACGACACTTTCATCAGCGTGCTTTACCCATACCCAACTTGACTGAGAGGTATCGACATTTCCCGGGCCTTATTTCAATGCCTTTCTATCAGATCAGGGCGGAAATATTAACCATGACCCTTTCAAATCAAAGGACGGAAAGGTGGAAACACCTTCCCTTGTGCAATAAAGTGAATCGTTTTAAAGAAAGTCGAACAATGAATTGGAGAGATTGGACAGAAAAGTTTTAGAGGATTTCTCGGAGACGCACCGTTGTGGAACAGTTCGAGGTATTTATCACCTTCTGGACTTAACATACAAGGAACATTCGTCGACTTGGCTCAAACATAGAATATCAGTTGACGATATTCTGATCTACTTTCACTTTCAATCTGATCTCTGTTGGGCTTTTCTGGGGAAATTATGCGGTAGATGTTCCAAAATTTCCTTTAAATTGTCACCGCCTTCTTTAGAGAATACTGTGGTTACTTGAAAAAAACCACTATTGGACATATTTGAATGTACTGGAGTGAAACACCTTAAAGAAGGAAAATATACCCAGTAAAAATACTTCCGCTTCTTACCCGTTGCTCTTAGTAAAGCTCTGTATATCTTGGCGTAACCAATGCCAGCATTGTCTTCGTTGATCGAGAGTCGAGATTCATGCGCATGAACCACGAAAAAGGCCATATTCATCTCTAAGGTTGGAATTTTGTCGACCATTTCCGACATTTGAGTAAGTCTGAATGAGTGCTTCTCAACACACTCAACATGGATGCTACATTTCTCCAGCAGTTTCTCAACAGGCTCCAGTTTGCATGTGTTATCACAGTTGAACAGATGAACTCGCCTTTTTGACTGCGACATCTTTTCTCTGGCGCAGTTTCTTTCGTTTTAAATGTAACTTTAGCAGAGAACTTAACAACATTTATCACTTCGCATCAGATGGAATCGACTGCGCAATGTTTCCGAGAAAGCATATCACTCTTCTTGATCGATATAGGTCACGCAAATCCCTAAGTCACTCAAAATAGAAACTCGTAAAAGGATCTGAAATAAAGGTACTCTAAAAACAATCGAGTTACTATTGATACAGGATAAAAACCGAACTCTCCGTAACGCACAAGAGATTAATTAATTCCTCATATGGCTAATGAGCTACATCTGTAGAATCGCGTGATTAAATTCTAGGAAAGCTGCATGAGGCCACTTGAAAGGGTAAATTCCCATCCTGCACTTTCATTTGGTGTCTCGTTTCTTACACGAACACATTCACTCGTGCTGGAATAAGGATAAAGCTCGTCTTTAGATAAATCTTCATAATGGGGGTAAGTTTTACAATATCTTGGCTTATTATCGACAACTTATTCTGCAAGTTTTTGTTCGTTTTTTCCTTACACTAGTGATCGTAATGTGCGTCTGAAATGCTATATCATTCATTTGTAAGGGCTGTGACACATATTAATCCCTCCGAATGGAACTTTTTCTTGTGACAAAAGACATTAAGAACTGGGTTAGCTCTCAGCTGACGGTATAAGCCGAGAGTACTAGTTCCGTTGAGCTAATCATTTCCAAACTTAGGCAAATGCGGGCGAAAATTGCAATTAACTCAACCGCAAAATCTTCGCTGGAGAGATTTTAAAATCGTTCGCTTCTCGGAAACTGAAAGTAAATTCTTTCTAAAAATCGATGGGTGAACTTTCATTTTCGTTAAATGAAATTAAAGGAAAGTGCATAAAAGAGAATGTTGAAATGAAATGACGAGAATTGACGAGTTTCACCAGAAGAATTTAAGTTTGTGAATGAAAATCGCGGCTTCCTACTTCCGGTAACTTCCGGGAAAGGTTAAGAATCGCACTTTCCACTTTTTGAGCTTTTAAATCCATCTGGTTCTTAAAAAGGGCTAAAGGACTCTCTGAGCCGCTAGAAAGCCCAAATTTGACGATTTTTTGCGGCACGATAACAAAACGAACATTATGTACAACGTCTCCACTTAACTCAGCTTAGAAATCATTGTATATAGGCGTTGCAAAGTGAAAGCAAGGAAAGAGAAATTATCTTGAGATATTTTTCTCCACTTTTCTTTATGGCAATTGATGTGCTTCGTCTGCCAAACTACCTTTACCTTTCGTAGTCTCCCAAATCTTCCTAAAGCCTAAAAGGCTTCTCGTTTAAAGGTCGGCACAAACTAGGAGACTAGTCCTTGCGACTAGTCCTTACAACTAGTCCCCTGAAGAGTTTACGCGAAGTGACTGGTCGCAGGGATTAGTCCCTAGCTAGTAGTGTTTACACGCGGGGACCAACTGCATAGGAAAGTAGCAAAAACTGGGGGAGAACAGAATCATTCTTTCATTTTGTAGCTTTCTTAAGTAACCAAAATTATTTAAAATAGCAAAGTATTATTAAAATAAATCAGCTCAGTACAAGCCGCAGATTGTTCAGCGAAATTACTCAGTGCTCGAATTGTTTCTGATTTAGTTGGGATATCAGCGTAAAATAACGCTTCCTTATCGATCAGATGTGGCCAATACGGAAACAAAAAGGGGCGAGAATTCGAGCAAGAGTGCCAGTACTCATGTAAATTATTTCAAAACTGGTTCAATCCCGGGGAGGAAACATCGAAGAAATTATCCTGGAGGTCACGCAATCGCTTCTGTACATTGTGTTTTCTGGCGATCTGTGATTGGCTTATTTCTTGGTCGCAGGACCTTGCCACTCGAACAGTTCTCACGAGGCGTTTTGAAAAGCAAGTCGCAGGGAATTGTCCCAAAAATTCAAACTGCCACATTTCGAAGTGGATTATGGTAGTGATATACAACATCCCTAGACCTGAAAGACAGCTGTGAAAAACTTGTCGAGAAGGGATAAGGATTGTATTACCTGTCGCTGTTCAGGAAATGAGCCCTAGTTCCTTCTTCGGAGCAAAGAAGAGGAGAAAAGTTCCATCCGGCGGGTAAATCGAGTCTATGAGAAGATCCGAGCCTCAGACTTTCCAATTTTGATTTTCCCATATAAATATTTGTCAATATTTTTTGCCTTTAGAGCGGTAAGAGCAAGGAGACTCACTACACTTATGTGGATAACACAGCAGCACAAAGGCGTGAGGCAGAGGAGAGAGAGGCAAGACGACTGGAGAATGAACGAAAGCAACGCGAGAACGACGAAAGACTGCGTATAGCGAGAGAAAAGGCGGAAGAAGAGAGGAGACGACGAGAGCAGCTAAGGGAACAACGGGAGAGTGAAATAGCAGAAGAGGAAGCCAGAAGAGAAGCGGAAGAACAGAAACGTTTGGAACTGGAGGCCGAACTCTGCCGACGCCGAGATCAGTTGTTCAATTACAAGTTTGGTGACAAGACCAGGCTTGATAATTTTATGGGGCTAAACATTGAGGATGTAACCCAGCTTAGGATCGGTGTTTTTGGCCCCACGGGATCTGGTAAGAGTTGCTTCATCAACACGTGTGAACGAGCGGTGAGGGAAACAGATAGGGGATCCGCCCCAGATAGTACAACAGGACAAGAGGGAACCATTACACTCCAGGACTACCTGCCTGAGATGTTCTTCCACTTGGTAGACACCAGGGGCTTCTTCAACTACAACTCAAACGAGAACATCGAGTTTCAGAATATCCTTTTTGGCAAAATTCAGCCCGGGGATAACATACACCGCTCTAATGCCGGTGAAAGCAAAACACAAGAGATGCATCAATGCCCAGAATTTAGACAAAGAATGCATGGAATCATTATTGTGGTTAAGGCTAACGACCCAAGACTCACTGAGGGGGCATTGAAGGACTACTTGAAACCAGTTCGAGATGTCCTTCGAAAAAACGGTATTGTATGAACTTGAAATCATTATACTTTAATATCCACCATATATATCTAAGCAAGGAAAACGGTGTTGGAATGAAGACGCAAACTTATTGAATAGTAGAGGACAGTTGAATAGTAGAGGACTATCTTTATTCTATTCTTCATAGGAATTGCTCCAATTACTGTTATCACCCATCAGGACACACTGAAAACAGAAGAAGACGAGAAGGACGCTTTTGACGAGGCATCAGCAGCTACAGGAAGCTCCCCTAGTCACACCTTCTTCATGTGGAACTACACTAAAGATAACAGAAGTCGTAACCCTGAGATAGAGCGCATGACATTCGACATCTTGCACTATGCTTTGATGACCGCTGAACGGGCTGTCAAGATCATGAAGCAAAAAGAGAAAAACAAAGAAGAAGACGAGGTGATGAAAGCTCTGGACGGAGTTACAGTCAGTGGACATGTGGCACCTGACTCCGCTGACGGTAAGCTCATTAGAACGGCACATGTTACAATAAGACATTGAAAATGAAGGCCTCTGCAACACGGGTCATTAATTTCATGAAATATGTTTCAAGTGAGAGCCGTGCTGAAAAGCACCAAATTTTCTTTATCAAAAAGGAAGGAGATTAGTTTGAGAAATGCTGAATAGTGCGTGCTGCAAGGTTCAAGGTGAGGGGGAGCATTCGAGCTGAATTCTGAAGACAAATAGATTTTTTTTTATCTTGCCCAGAACTGTCATAAATGAAGATGAAAACTCACTGCACATTTTGTTGCACCGACTGGCGGCAAAAAACTGATTTTTTTCGCTAGTGCCTTAGGTTTGATAGCCTCCTATTACATTTTGCCTTTTTTTCTCTTTTTTCTTTCTATAATTCCACCACGCCCCTATCGCAACATTCCCAAGCCTCTGATGCCCACTTTATTGTCGTTATGGCAATTCTACTAAATAACAGTGTGTATGAAGTTGATAAAATATCTTAACCATTATTAGCTTCGGTGGAAGTGTTCCTACGTTTCCTCCAAAAAGAATATCAGTGGTCGACAAACAGCATCAAGGTGGCTTTGAGTAAGTTAGCCAAAGATGACATAACAACTGTCAAGGTATTAGCCATGACATGGGGTGAAGTTCGACAACACTTTCCCACTGGTATGAGCCGAATGATCGAGAAGGAGCTCAGGAAACGAGATATGATCCATTAAACGATTTGGTGGCGTCTAAACACGGACATGACGCATTGGAAACCAAGGTTCTTTAAGCAAAATTACCCATTTTTTAACGTTTTACGGGAAATTAATAAGCTAATGCAGAGAACATAGTTGTTTTAAAAGAATAACATTTCATTTCTGATGTTTAGGATAAAAAAAAATATTAATCAAAACACTATTAAATTCACCAAAAAGATTTTGATAGGTCCATGGGTTTACTTGTTCCCTATAGGTGTTTTAGAACACAAAATTTATGTAACTTTCTAAGTGAGTTAAATCAAGAATTACGTCAGTAAAATGAACTTATGATCAGTAAATAACTACGATTGGGTGTTGATTAAAGGGTTTTTGTTCTTTTGCCAGTGGTCGTTGAATCTTTCTACCTTATCTTAATGATTCTATTCAGTTCCCAAATCCAATCACAGCCTCTTCACTTAGGTGATAATTCCCCACTGTTCATGTGGCAAAGCACCAAGATTTGCGACTCTTTTACTAAAGGTGTGTAATAATGTGAAGGGGACAGGGAAGGGATGTGAAGGACATCAACGCACAGAATGAGACAACAGCATTCGTAGCCTTCTTGCTTGACGCAGGCTAAATTTGAATCGACCAAGCATTTCAGACGGCCAGACAATAAAGAAAATTGCCTGAAAATGGCTAGCAGCGCGCACCTTTCGCAGCCTTGTGAATTAAATACTTTTGCTTTTGAAAAGTTAGCAAATGGGTTTTGTAGGTTAAACACGGATCCTGTGGGTAAGACCTTTTCTGAGATTTTGACCCGAGAGGAACAGGTCGCAAGTTTATTTCAAATCCCTTGCCGATATGATATTCAACACCGACAGTTGTAACGCAGCTGTTGAGTCAACTTCGTGCTTTTTCCATCCATATCTCAAATCTCAAACCTGGCCAGCCGAAAAAGAGAAAATACCAAGAGAGGTTCAAATCTCTTTTTTCTAAGCTCTATTTCAGGTAAGAGATCTTCCTCCCACTCCCCACCCTCTCATCCCTCGAAACTTTACAAAAACCAGTCCAACAACGATTCAGTACAACTAGTTAAAATACAAAAAGCAGGTCTTTATTTCTAGTCAATAAGGGGTTTTTGGTTCAACTGTGGGTTTACCCGTCTCTGCTGTAATCGCCTATGTAATAAATGCAGCTGGAAGGACGTAGAAAAAATGGGCTTTAGCCACTTCACAGGTTAAAGCCTTGTTCTGGAAACAATATGTTGATGATGTCATTTCTGCGGTATCAGAAAATGAAGCGGAACGCCTCCTCTTACATTTAAATCCAGTGGAGCCGTCTATCTATCTATCTATCTATGATGATGATGAACTTTATTCATGCGTCACTTATAAAATAGCAGTAATAAAACCACTAAGTAAGGACACAACAAGATAATTTAAATAAAATAATAAATAACTAAGTATTAATATACGATTAAATAGTACGAAATATACGAATAAATAGCATAAAATTTGTGGTCAGCAG